TTTTTCACTACTCAACCAATTTATTCATCTCTCCTAGACATAAAGAGCAGTTTTGCAAACACTGTAAACTATAGGGCAGTGTGATAGATAACCATCTACGGTTCACGTACCCGTAGAAGACAATTTACTGTCTGGTGATGTTCTTAAAAAACATGGAAAGAAATGTGTCTCTTTTATTACTATTACATGCATGTATAAGTTACAATAATACCCTAAGTTTTCTTTACAGCCCATTTTCCATAAATATTAAACTACTAAAAGTAATGGTATTTTCTAAGTTTTCAAAATGATCTATCATTTAGTAGAAAAATAAATCAGGCAACTGCATTTATTAATTTAGGCAATGTTTCCCAATAAAAATGTAGAAATATTTCACTTTACATATTACAATGTACCAACACAAAGTCAAAATCCACAATTATACACTCATAAAAAATCTAAACATCATCTTCACAAGAAGCAGTTTCTGTACAGGATTTACAGACATCTAAGCACACACTGTGTCTTCAGTGTGCTACGGAGTTCAGAGGTTCTGCTCGGATGTTCCCCAAGTCCAGTGCAGAGTCTGTCTCTTCATCAATTTCTCCAATGACCGCTCTATTATCAGTACGGGGGAAAGACAAGAGTTAAAAACATGCTGAAGTGAACCTCCATACATTTCTAAAACCCCATTAACTATAGCATTGCTTCATTCTTCCAAATGTGTGGAACTGAGAAGGCGCAGTGAGAAAATGCGGTGGGAAGCAAAAGTCATTTCAGGACTCACTGAATTAGGTCCTAACACTCAAGAAACAACGTGAAGGTGGGGCTACAAGAAGAAATATTAAAGAGATACCGCAACTGTCTGAACATCAGATCTTTGGAAAACTAGTGGCTGATCTGCTGCATTTACTTAGAGTCAAACAAAAAAGTCTGTTTCAGGAGCTCCTAAAAGGAGGCTCCACCCCCAGTAGGTTCAGTAAATGTTCAGTTGGTTTCTTGGTAACACGGGTGTGGGAAGCACCATCCAAATCAGCGAGTCCACACACTGTCACCGCAGTGTTCCATCAGTATGCTGTGCTCAGGGACAAGGGCCCCTCTGCTCGGCTCACCCTTTACAAGACACATCATAATTTCACCCAAGTCATCTCCAGAGAGCATTTTATAAATCATAAACCCAAATTTTGATTAAGGATCAATCAACCTACTTACCAAATGTAAATTTCAGATAAAGTTAAGTGAATAAAGCATATATTCATTTTAAGATAAACTTACAGGATTCACTAATGAACTAAGCTTACAGTTTACTACATTAAGCAAGTATCCCTTTAAACCACCTAAACTTACTAGTAACTTTTGCTTTCCTGTAGTTATATTTTGACTCTTCGTAGTGTTCTAGAAACATTTAAATTTAAGTTTTAGCCACATAATGTGATTAAGCCTATAATACCAATACTTGCAAAGCTCTAGGAAAATGAAAGAAGTCTAGGCCATATAGCAAGTCCCAGGTCAGCATGGGTTACATGAAGAGACTCAATTTCAAAAAAAAAACTCCAAATTTAAAATTTAGTTCCTTGGTCACCAACCACTTTTCAAATAGGACAGCTACAAAAGCAAGTAGATATAATACTGGAAAATGTTGATATTCAAGACTTCCATTACCAGAAAAAATAGTTTGAATAGCACTGTTCAAAATGGTTGCAGCTTTTGTCAAACTGCTATGTCTAAGATTTCTCAAACTAGATCATCAGTGTTCTGAATTCGATAAGACTATGGTATTTTCATGGGACACTAAAAACAAACACAGCTAAATGAACTTGAATTAATAGCTCAAACAAGAGATTTTCCCCTCAATATATGGTTTTATTTAAATTACAAACATGAATGTTTCACATGTCAATCCCAGCTCCCTCTAACACCCTTCCTCCCTTGTCCCTCCACCAGACCCCTCAGCCCCCCAACCCATCCCCACATCATTCCCCATGGAGGGTGAGGCCCTACTTGGGGGGGGAATCTCCAGAGCAGGTCATTTCATCTAGGGTAGGACTTAGACCCTTCCCCATGAGTCCAGGCTGAGAGAGCATCTATTTGGAATGGGCTCCCAAAATCATTCATACACCATAGTAAACACTGATCTACTACCCAAGGCCCCAGTGATTTCTGTGGCCTCCTCCCTGACACTACATTCACAGAGTCTGGATAAGTCCCCTGTTGGCCTCTCAGCCATCAGCCTGGGATTCAAGAGCTCCCCCTTATCCGGTCAGCTTTCTTTGTGGGTTGCACCATCATGGTCTTGACCCCTTTGCTCATCACTCCTCCATCTTTGTCACTGGGCTCCAGGATTTCAGTTCAGTCAAACAAGAAATTTTTAAAGAGATTTTCCAAAATGTTAAGAAGCCTCTTAAGGAAGAATTTGGTGCAAAGCAGGGTCCTTTGCAGGCCTATCCAGGCCTCTTTCCTAGTAGAAACACACAACACACACACACACACACACACACACACACACACACACACACACACACACACACACCAGTGGTTTAGGCTACTCAGAGGCTGCAGTAACAGGTGATATACAGTTCAAGGTCAGTTCTAAGCAACTTTAGGAAAGCCTGGTTAGGATGTAAACAGTAAAGAGAGCTGGAGAGCACAGATCAATGGTAGACTGTTCTGTATGTGCAAGACTCTACATTCAAAGGCCAAGTCTCAAGTCTCAGTAGGCCGATGTTTGCTTTGTGGAGAGACAATTTTACCTGGTTCCTGAGGAATCTCAGCCTAAAAAGCATAAATTAAATGTAAGATAATCTATAGCTGCAAAGCAGATGAATGCACAATTCTATTATGTATAGATGACATATTAAGTTGGGAAAAATCTCTCTTCCATAATGCAAGCACACCAGTAATGAAAAAGTAACTTTACTCAAAATGACTTATTTTACTTACACGTTGTCACCTCTCACGATGTATAATCCTAACACCACTTGTTCTACTCCTTGTGAAGAGCTGAATACCCTCTCGTGGCTTTCATCCAAAATCAAATTAATGGTCTGGTCAAAACCTTTTAGTGTTCCCTGAAAACATGCAAGAAAAAACAAACTATATTCTGGTTCTGAATATGCAAATCAAGCTTACAGCCATTTCAGCTGTACTTATGTCTTACTGTCAGTCCACTAGCAGCACAATGTTTTCTGTGGTCCCAAAGTAGCCACAACAGAGCTTACCCTTCACTTTTTCTATAATGGGGAAAACTTGTACTGCAAATCTATTATGCAGTTGCAAGCAACACCCAGGCACTATGATTTCCAAGTAAATAAACTCACATAGTTCAGGAATTAGCACTATGAAAACAAACTAAAACAGGACACGTTTAGGATAAAATGTTTTTTTTTAACTGAATAATAAGGAGAACCACAAACCAGCCATACACAGTTCACTGCTTGTTAATACTTAGTGATAGCCAGTAGCCAAAGAAACACACTATGCAAATCACCTCCTCTTTCCGTCACCTTGGAGAGTACTGTGTTTTGCCCATTTCAAATAAGGGACCTGATACTCTAGAAAATGATGGTTCAAGATTTCATGGGTAGTAACTACAAGATTCAGTACAGATAAACAAGGCTAGTTCCAGAGCTAGATTACAAAGTAATTACATTATTCTGTTGTAAACAATGCTTTTGAGAAATTAATCTATAAATATACACAAATCACATGGTAGTTACAGGTAACATTTAGTATATCCTTGTTGCCAATATTGTGCTTACCTGTATGTATTATTGAATACTCTTAATATTACAGTAGGCAAATGTAGAACCAAAATACCCAGGAACTTAACTTGAAGGAAATAATCAGGAAAAACTTTGTGGCTATTGCAAAATGTAGTATCATGATAGCTGTGTAAATTTCTGAAGAAATAGCTTATTTTGGATTTGGCTGGTTTATCTCTTGAGCCCACCTTTATACCCCCATGTTCTGAAAGCCATAATTATACAGAATCAGAATGAAATAAATAGAAACCTGGAATCTAGAAATTGGAAAGAAAAACAAATTAGACTATTACAGCAGTTAGCAGTTAGCAAATCATAGTTATCATAAACCCCTATAAACATGCTCTGTATAATAAAGACAGAACTGCTGAGTGTCAGTACAATGTTTCTGTTTAGCTTTTCTTCTAAAGGCATTTTCAAACAGAAATAAGAAATTTAAACATGAGGCTTTCAAAAATCGGCTATTTGCAAATTATCTGTTAATAGCAACAGACTTCTTTCAGTGTTTAACATATTCCTAATTGCCTACTGTTGACAAACTTAGAGCGTAAACTCACAACCATCAAACAAAAAAACTTACATATCTGTTTCCTTTATTAAGAAGAACAAGGCAAGTAACCTTGGTTTTGGAATAAAACTCAATTTACAACACACTATAATTTCGTCACTTGTTATACTGAATCTCTGTGAAAGTAACTTGATTTTGTCTAAGCTTGGTTCCTAATCTACAATATAAGTGGTAATTCCTCACAAGACTGTTGCAGACTAAATAGCACACAAAATTCCTAGCATATGATATGCACCGCACTTCCTATGGTAGTCTACCGCTTTGAATGGTGTTGCTCACTAAGGAGTAAGAAGAAGATAAAGATGCTGAAGAGATGGTTAAGAGCATATACTGTTCCTCCAAAGGACCCACACAGTGTGGCTCACAACGGCCTGTAACCCTAGCTCTGCTGGATCTGACAAACTCTTCTGGGCTCCTTCTGTAGTGTATCCCCACACACATGGCAGACGCTAACACAGACACACACACAACGTAAGTAAAAACAAATCCTTAAGAAACAAAATCACAAATGGGAAACATGGCATTAAATCACAGTCATGAAAGAAATAATGCAGAGGTAGTAGATGAAGCAATGGCCCCAAAGAAGTCCCCTCGCTAACTTAAGTTTCTGAAACCACACTCATTATTTTTGAAGAATACACATTTCTCAGATTGAATCTCCCCATTGTTAAGCAATTTACAAGGGCATATACGTAATTTGTAAATCGTTAAAGAGCTCTAAATTAAAACAAACAACAGGAATAGAATGGAAGTAAAAAAAATGCAAGAAGAAAATCAGTAGACTTATTACACAGCTCTGCATTTCACATCAGAAGCCTTCAAGGCTTATTAGAGAAGTGGTATTGGCAGTCAGCAGACAAAGGTCTGTCAAAACAGGTGGATCCTAAGAACACTACAATCGAGGTTATACTGTGGTACCTGAACATTAGATCAGAGACGTTACTTTAAATTTACAATAAAGAGCCTACAAAAAGAGTAGAATGAAAACACCACTCACCACAATCATTCTCCCATCAGAAGTGATAACAGCAACGGTTCCTGAGAACGGAGTCAAGGAAAGTATCTTAAGAGATTACAAACTGAAAACTCTCAGCCTGGTAAGGAAATGGTTTCAATTACTTACAAAAAGAAAAAAAAGAAAAGAAAAGGGCAGTATTAAAGTTAACACAGCCGCAGCTCATGAAGGAGAAAAGGTTTTAAACTTGTTTCAACTCTATCTTGAAAACAGTAAATCCAATGGGAGAAGGGATAGTCTGACATCTGACTCTGGTTCAAATAGCAATGGTTTCCATCTATAACACTGAGCAATACAATTCCTTCCTTTCTTAGACCAATTTCTCCACCTCTGAAATAACAATTGGATGAGTGCTTATCAATGTTGCATCATTGTATATCATGTTAAGACCCTCCTAGTCGAAGACCTGGTCATAATTAATGCCATCAAGTACTAATAATCCTTAAAGAGCATCATTAAAAGCTCTGTTTTCATGGTTTCTTTGTACATAATGCTCAGTGCACTGTTTCTGTCCTGACTTTTTACAGCAGCAGTTCTAATTTAAAATCTTGCAATGGGCTCTTAAAAGCTACTTACCTCTCACTAAACCCCAACACGATAGCAGGTTTTCTTTTACTTCTATCGCACAGATACTTCAAGTGGAGGTAGGGGGCCCTAAACTCAAATGGGAGAACCACCATTCCATTTAAGCTAACCCCCGAACAAACAGCAAGCCTGCGAGCATCTACAGACTGGTCGCCCTTAGGAAAACAGTTCAACTTATTCCTAGGGTTGGAACGCACGGGCCTTAAGCAAATCTGCAACAACCGACCGAAAGGCCACTTGCAGGAAAGTTGCAACGACCCTGCGTTCTGGGATGCGGGTGACAAGGGCCAGGGTCTGCCCGATGACCCGACCGCGGATCCCGACCCCGGTCCCGCCCCCCGTCGCGGCTTGAGCAGTCGCAGCAGCCGCCCGAGGATACGGTTGATGTAGTTCTCCAAGGCAGACGTCATGCTGCTGGGCCCGGAGGTCCCGGGAAGAGGAGACACAACCCGGCAACACGGAGACGAGACGCGGGGGCCGCCGGACGCACGTACCGGTTCCCGCCCGCTGGTGGAGAGAAGTATCGCGAGATTCCCGAGGCCCCCGCGGCAGCCAATCGGTCATTGAATGGAGCGGACCCGACGGGAAGCGGGGCGGGGCCGGCTCGTACGCGTGCGCAGTGCGCTTCCTCCGGGCTTCCGGGTGGTGGCGATCGGAAGGCGGGGATGGCCGAAGGCGGGGAGAGGCGGAAGTGTGGCGCTGTTCCGGGAGGTGGGCTGGGTGGAAGCGATGGGAGGGCGCCAGCCGAGGGCCAGGCGCTGTAGGAAGACCGCCTGTGCCTGTGCCGGAGACGCACGAGATAAGATGGTTCCACGTCGTTGGGAGACGGGGAGCGCTCCTTTGTTCTCCCAGACAACGTAGATGGCAGGGAGCTTCTAGCTTTCTGCAGCGTGAGCCAAAAAAAAAGTTGAAAAAGACGAATGACGCAGTCCAGAGTGAACGCACTGTAGCCAGCATGATGCACATTTTTAGGGAGAACCCAACTATACAAAGTGCTTGTGTTTTCCGAATGTGGCTCTTCCAAGTGTCACGAAGCAGCCTTAAGAAAACGAGCTCCAAAGAGGTAAAGGTGTACGAACCTCTCGTAGGAAAGAGATGGTCACTTTTCATTGATATTACGAGGCTTAGTTTGCCTTGGGGTGAATTCTGTAATTCAGAAAGTCTACATTGCCCTTGCGAAGGGACCGATTGGAGAAAAGCGTAAAAGAAGCACCAGGCTGGGTTATAATTCTATCCCTGGTAATTGATGTCCCTGTTGTAAGTCACTTAAAACTCTTGATCTGAGTTTACTTAGAGGCTGTACAAATGTGTTAGTCAGTCAACCATATATAACTAATATTTTTCAATATTTTTAAATGTCAGAGAGGGAGGGAGGGAGGGAGGGAGAGAGAGAGAGAGATGCTGTGGAAGTCACAGGACAACATTCAGAAGTCAATTCTCTCTTTCCACCCAGGGACTGCAGGAATCAAATTCAGGTTATCAAATTTGTACAGCAAACACTTTGACCTGCTAAGCCATCTCCCCAGCCTCTCCTCTGTGTATCCTGCTTGCTTCTTTTCTGGGTTTTGTCTTCATGAGGCATTTTGTTACTGTTAGAGCTGTTTGATTGCAGTCATGCTCCATTGGACCACACTGCCATTGCCATTGTTGCCCATGAAAGGTACTCAGTAGTCTGGGAGCAGTGAAGCATGTGATCTAGACCAAGGGTGCTTAGAACCACACACTTCTGGCTCTTTCCTCAGATTCCAGGTTACAAAGCGGGAGATGCAGAATCAACCCTGGTCTCTTTCTGGTGCATTTTGTCAATTTCGTCTTCAGTATTACCTATTGATGTTGTTGCTTAGTTTCTCTTATGAGAGTTGACAAATTAGGTCTGTAGCCAGAATTTTTTGGTAAACAGCTTGCTTCCACACAGCCACAACCATTAATATTTATGCTGTATATGGCTGTTTTAGGCCTTGCAGTAGCACAACTGATTCCAGGAGGCACAGTAAACCTAAAATATTTATTAGCTGGCATTGAGCAGAAAGTTTGAAGATCCTGCTTCTGACCAACAAATGAAAATTCTCAAGCTTATGTCTATATTCCCAAACCCATTTCTCTAAAGTACCTCGCTGCCTTAATGTTCACTTCTAGCTGACGTTGAAATAGAATTCCTCCGTTCTTCTGAACCTGACATCTTGTACCAAGAGTAAACAAACACATCAAACTAGACTTTGGAAGGATGGCTGTGTTATTTCCTCCCTCTTTCCTGTTATCGTCATTTCAATCAAGAACATGCAGATATTTTTCCAACTTAATTAATCATGTAATGACAATCTTCTCATGCATGAATATGACAGAAAATAATAATCTTTATTTTAGCATATGCAACCAGAAAACTAAATTAAAGTCACAAATTGTGTCAAGCAATGCAATGAATTGAAACAAATTCATAGCAGTCTTTTAGAACAAAAATAAATAATTGAAATTATAGACAGCTATTTGTAGGGATTATTAATCTTCATTTTCAGGTATTCAATATCTGAGTTCTTCCTGTGTGTATCAGGAATTCTCTATAAGTTCAGGTGGGAGAAAAAGCTCAGTGTGTCAATAGTCCATTTTGGGGGGGAGTGGGTGTCTTGCAATGACAGTCTTGGGTTGTGCTTAAGACTCCTCTAGACTTTTACTTGTTACTAGTGTCACAAACAAGGGGACATACAACCAACCTATTCGACTATGCACATTAGGCTGGCAACAGCAAGTTCATAATATAATTTTAGGCTCCAGAGGATAATTCATTCAAAAGTTCTTGTTGTTATCAGTCATGACTCTATTTTTGTCCTTGTAGATCTGTCTTTACCCAGAAGCTAGATATGTTTTCATGCTACATAGCTTGTTTTATCCAATGACAACGTTAACTGATCTCATGTGTGCTTCTTGAACTGCCCATGGATTCTTCTTGGAGCTTCTACAGAACAAAGAAACAACATTCATAGTAGTCCTTAGTATATTGTTCTTGTTTCATTGTCTGATATATGGCAAATGCCCATTTCTGAACCAGTTCCTTTCTTATGTTCAAGGATCTCTACAGAGTTTAACCTAAGAATAAGAGTCTGTCTACACAAACCACATGGCTGCTTTAAACAGGCAATAGATGAGTTCTAAAGAAAATCAAACTACTTTCTGTTGGAAACAAAAGGAAACAGAGGCTGAGGAAGCAACCAACAAGTACCTACTATTATCTAAAGTATATTTACAGCTAATGCAATATAGGTCTCTGCTGCCTAGTTTTATTTCAACTTGACACAAGCTAAAGTCATCTGAGAGGAGGGAACCTAAATTAGGAAAACTTGTCTATAGCATGAGGCTATAGGCAAGCCTACAAGACATTTTCTTAGTGATTGAGGTGGGAGGACCCAGCCCATTGTAAGTGTTGTCATCCTTCAGTGGGTGGTCCTAGATTTTATAAAAAAGTAGGCTGAGCAAGCCAGGAAGCAGCACTCCCCCATGCCCTCTGCATCAGCTCCTGCCTCCAGGTCCCTGCCCTAGTTGAGTTCCGGGCCTGATGTCCTTCAGTGATGAACAGTGATGTGGAATTTTAAGCCAGGCAAACAATTTCCCTTCCATGCCATGTTGCTTTTGGTCATGATGTTTCATCACAGCAATAGTACCCTGAACTAGGACACAGTCTAAGATTAGGAGAGTTAAGTAGTTAGTCTATTTAGGTATACTGGGTTAAATCATATTCTGTGTACACGTGCATGTACATGTATCTGTACTATTACTAAAGTACTTTTTCATATTTACTATGATTCAGGTTTTGTACATGAATGCAGCTTAGCTCTAGTCTGGAAATAAATAATGTATAGCATACAATTTCTAGCCTTTTATTGGACAGCACTGATACCTTTATTGGACATTATTGTTGGAATATCAAGCAATGTCTAGCACATTATCGTTAGGAATATAAAAGCTATTGTTGGAGATTCAAACCCACAAATTTTCAGAACAAGAGAATTAGCCACAGTCACTGCTGACTCAGGACACAGAGAAGTGTTCCTCTGGTGTCTAGGGTATTGATCTCAACCTTCCTAATGCTGCAACCCTTTAACACAGTTCTTCATGCTGTGGTGACCCTGACCATAAAATTATCTTCGTTGCTACTTCATAACTGTAATTTTGCTACTGTACTACTGTTATGAGTCATAATGTAAATACTATTGGAGATAGAGATTTTGTCCAATGGGCCACAACCCACAGGTTGAGAACCACTACCTAGTAATCCTCATCAATTCACTCGCTATACTTTCAAACAACTTCTAAAAGAAGATTGTTTGTCCCTTTCCTTGTTGACACTGTGAATCTTTATTTTTTCCCTTTGAGTTGATTTTCAACCATTCCCATATCTTATTAGTACTATATAGATTGCATTGAATAAACAAAATAAACACTGTATTATAGATCCAAAAAAGCCCATACCCTTTTATGTGTAAGAAATGTTTTAAAACTTGCCACCTACATAATGATATATAGTTTAATGATAGTCTTTGTGTGCATCCTCAGAACTCTTTGACATGAAAGACAGGTTATTCCATGAAAATTGGTCTCATTTAAAAGATATTATTCAAAAGAACATTGTGTATAAATAACTGGTATTCTGTTGCCTTTTCAGTTTAAAGGTTCAGCCGGCATTGATCTCAGCCTTTAAGTCAGAGAATGGCTGATCATATGATGAGCTAATATTTTTTTCAGTCCTTAGTACCAGGTTGAGATTACAGATCCTTATTACAATTTTCACAAGAAAACACAAAACTGTATGTTTTAGTTTCCGTGATAATAAATGGTAATGTGTATCTGTGTGTGGTGATACTGAAACAAATAAATCATAATGGTGATGTCATGATGTTGGATCCCTATGAGTTTCAAGGTAAGATGATCTACATAGTGATTTTAAGGCCAGCCAATGCTGCAAACTAAGGCCCTGTCTCAAAAAACTAAACTTACTCCACTTGTTATCTTTGTGGTTTAGTAGTTAACATGTTTTTTGGTTTGTTTGTTTGGTTGGTTGGTTGGTTGGTTGGTTTTGTTTTTGACAAACTGATGATTTTGTTGTAATTACTTGCAGGAGTATGAAGGAGAAGTTACATGTACAGATGTGAGTGACTTGAAAAAAATAGCCTTATCATCAGAAAATCTCACCCTAGGAAAAATTGTGATGTCACTGAGTCACTGAAGTTGAACCGAAGACTTTCTTCTTGTAAGTCACTGTAGACTTCTGACAATAAGGATAGATTTGGGGAGTATTAATTGTAGAAATTCAAAGTATCTTTAAAAGTCAATTTAAGTAAAGAAAGTCTATTTGGACAAAAATATAATACACAATGAAATTATACCTATTTTCAGAGATAGTGAAAATAATGAACATTGTTTGCTTGTGATTAAATTGAAGACAACTGACTTCATCCTTTAGAATGTACTTGTGATCTTATAATACAAATAAATTTATTTATATTGAAGGGACCACAGGAATCGTTAAATTTGAATGCTCTCATTGCTAGAGGAGCATAGAATGCAGAGAAACAGCATCATTTTCACATTTCTGTTTGTTTCTATGGCAGAAAATATTAACATTCGTAGGGCATGGCATTACAAGTTAGTTGCATGTTTAGAAATGAAAATGTATGTCTGTGTTCAGCCTTGGTCATCAAATGTCCTAATGATAATTGGGCTCACTAGTCATGCTGATGAGTCTAGATTGTTTGGCAATCAAACTCTTTATTGAACTAAATGCCTTAAATACCAAGCTGGTGATCTCATTTGGTTAATGAGACAGTTTTCTGAAAGCTCTTGGTTTTGTTCACACCGATGAGCTAGTTTCTAACCGTGAAAAGTTGGCCAGATGCAGGACCTAATGGCTTTATCAAGATGCACAACAGTTCTTTGAATCAATCTGCAGATGCAGTGTACCTGAAAACTCTGTATTCTTGGCTCACATTTCTCTGCTTTGGTTACACTACCACTTATATTACTTACGTGTGCTTTAATGCAAACTCTTAAATATTGTTTTACATCATATTAAAATATTTTGTACTTTGGAGTTTTTACCTTAAGGGAAAAGGTTTTTGCTTAAGTCATTTAGTATTGCTAATATGAAGATTCAGTTTCTTTGAGACAGTTTTCACACTACAATCTAGGATGGCCTTGAACTCAACAGCAGTAACCCTGCAGTAGGCTCCCAGGTGCTGGGATTATAGATATAAGCCATTACAACCAGCTGAGGCCTCAATTTTTGAAGAAAACAGGATATGAAGTTGTTTCAGTAGCTACCTAGATTGAATTAAAATATCAAACAAATTAGACTAGGGGTGTGTGTGTGTGTGTCTGTGTGTATATCTGTGTTAGTCAGCTTTATCTAGATGTAACAAAATACATGAGACAAACAACTTTAAAAAGAGGATAAAATCCTTTCATCTGTCACTTTTAAAGGTTTCAGCCTATTGTTACTTGGTCATGGTGCTATAAGCCTGTGGCAGCATAATTCTCCATGACACAAACATTTTTAAGAGAGGCACTCACCATTTACCACCAGAAAGCAGGGGAAGATGCTAGAGTTCCACTATCCCAGTCAGAAGCCCCTTCTTTGACCAAACATCCTTTCAGTTCGGCCTCACTTTATAAACTCTCATCACCTCCAATTGCTCCACATGATATTGGGGGGAGAGGCATTGAAGACTCAAAACCTAACACTCTCTTCATTTTCATTTATTGTCAGCTTTTTAAAAAATGAGCCATTTGTTGTTACTCCCATTCTTCTTTGATGCCAAGTTCTTTCTACCCACTCTACCCCCCACCATCTGGCACCCATTAATATGCTGAAGTGTTCCCCAAGTTTCTTACTGATGATAGACAGGGTTTCTCAACCCTCCTTCTGACTTGTAGCACTGGGTGGTGCATTTCGTGCTCTACCTTCACAAGATAGAATCTTCTTTCTCTAATGACTAGGACCAGTGTGTTGCTTTATTCCTGACAGTTTATCCTCCTCTCTTTTTTAGTGTCATCTGCCTGCAAAAGCTTTTTACAAAAGAGAGAAAGAAAGAAAACAGGGGAAATAGTGTTGTGGAATATTTATGTAAAGATGTGTTACATTTGTTTATGTGAAGATGTGCTGTATTTGTTTCACCTTGCCTGCCTAAGGCACCTGATTGGTCTAATTAAGGACTGAATGACCATTAGCTAGGCAGAGAGGAAGGATAGGTGGGGCTGACAGGCAGGAAGAGTAAGTAGGAGGAGAAATCTAAGTCTGAGAGAGGAATGAGGAAGAACAACAAGAGAGAAAAAGGAGGAGGGGAGGAACATGCCAGAGGCCTGAAGCCAGGCATCCACCAGCCAGAACTAAGAAGCAGTGAAAGTAGAAGTAGAACGACCCAAGGTGAAAGGTAGGTAGAGAGAAACAGGTTAATTTAAATTAAAAAGAGTTTGCCAGGAACAAGCCTACACTAGGCCGAGATTTCAGTAATAACACAAAGTCTCCTTGTCGTGATTTGGGAGCTGGTTGGTGGGAAAAAGAAAAAGCCTAGTACAAAATAGAGCATGACAGGTCAACCTAACCCCCTTCCTCTTCTCTCTGTTGCTGCTGCTCTGAAGTTGTATTGCCACGTCTACATTTCTATATCTGTGTGTGACACATATTCCTCGGGTGTAATGTTTAATGTATTTGAAATATCGTTGCAGCTTTTAAATTTTTGTACCTGGGAAAATATTTGATATATCTAGATTTAGCTATTTCATTTAATTTTTCTGTCTCTATAATGTGAATTAATGACAAATTACATATAATTGAGAGATCATAACTTTATTTTACATTCATTTAAGCGATTTTTTTAAATATTACTTGTTACCAACTGTAGGTCAATGATTCTGTATCACCTTTAGCCTTAGAGGTCAATTGAGGGATCAGTTAATGAAGCACATGCCTGTATCTCACAGTTATTAAAAATAGAGTAAATGGATAACATCCTAGAAAGTATATTTTGTTTTATTTCTACACTGCATCCTTGAAAACATTATTCACTAAACATAGGAAATGTGATCATTTTATTAGTTTCTATTTGTTTTAGCTCATATATTTTCTCATATCTAACTCTGCTGATAACCCAAATAAACCCATAAACTATTGGAATTAAGTTGAATTTAGCAGTAAAGAGTAAGTTCAACATATGAAAATTAATTGTGCTTCTATATAACATCAACAAAAATACCAAAATAAATAGAACTATTGTAGTGTGTTAGCAATAAACTAGAATGCTCTATTGCTTAATTTGATATTGATAATATATGTTAACGTGTGAGGGTACAGAAAAAGGAGTATATCAAAATTGTCTGTGGCGTTTCCAACATTTTGTACCTCTAACATGTTTACAAACTAAAATCTTTATTGAAATAAAGCCTTTAGCATTAATTTGTTGCATATTTACAATTTGTTAGCTGGTTTACTTAGTGCAGCTGAAGATAGAACCCAGGGTCCCATGTATGCTGAACATGGGTTCTACCCACTCAGCTGTATCCTCTACCAAACAACTCAAAAATTTAATAAAATACTGCCAAAGGAGTCAAAGACCTAGACAAATGGAGTGATGTGGTATCTTTATGGGCTGAAAATTTGAAGACTGAAGTATCAGTTTCTTCGTATTGTCTTGTAGATTCGATGCAATTTCTGTGAAGTTCACATCAAACTCTCTCTCTCTCTCTCTCTCTCTCTCTCTCTCTCTCTCTCTCTGTGTGTGTGTGTGTGTGTGTGTGTGTGAAAGTAAGAATAGACATTCTAATTTTAAAATAGAATCTTCTTTTATCATTCACATTATATATATATGTGTGTGTGTGTGTGTGTGTGTGTTTACAATCTGTTGGTTGACCATGTAGTATGTACCCATGAAACCATCCCTGCACTCAAAGCAACACATATATCCATTTCCTCCCAAAGTTTCCTGTTCCTGTTTTTTTTCCTTCACTTGCTTGTTTGTTTCTTTATTTTTTTCATGGGTGTAAGGTAAGAACATCAAAGTTCAGTGAAATCTGGCAAAATCATAATAACATTATTCCATGTTCTTTGCCATAGACACAATTTTGTACAGGAAGCTTCCTTTCACTCAGTTCACATTTGGATGTTTATTCAGAGAAAGTAGACCAAAAAGGGAGGGGGTGCTAAAAAGTTATACAAAAACAGATGCTTGAGGTTGATTAAAACATTTTCTATGAAATGTTTTAAGATTATAGTGTAATTGCATTTCTCTCTTTCCTCCCTCCAAATGCCCCTGTGTAACTCTCTGGACTCTCTCTCAAAGGCATGGCATCTTTTTTCATTAGTTGTCATTGAATGCATACATGTATATGTATATAAATGAATATTCTTGAGTATAACATGTTCAGTCCATGTAATGTTCCTTTATGTACTGGACAGCAAGTGATTGGTGTGTTCTTCTCTAGTGAAGACTATGTCTTTATCTCCTAGCTTTCTTCAGTTGCCTGTATTTCCTAGTGTAGGGCTGAGGCCTTATGGGCTTTGGGATATATTCTAGTATCATCCATGTTTAGGCAGTCATATTGGTGAGACTTTAGGATGTAGCTTCTGACATTACTAGGTGACAATCCCACAGCAAACTCCCTGATTCTCCGAGGCTTACAATATCCCCACCCCCTTTTATGACATGTTTCCCGCTCCTTAGCAAATGTTTAGAAAGTATTCCTCTTGAATTAATAAAGCTTTTTACCCTAGACAACCCTCTCAGCTCCTGCCAACCAAAGTTATTGATTCAACTTCCCTGTTATTGTTCTAATAAGATTTTCTGTTCCTTCTTGATTATGTCCTAGTAGGTAGACTATTTCTAGAATGTACTCATTTTTTTTTAATTTGTCCAGTTTGTCAACATATAGTTCATAAAATTTACCAGTTTTTTGCTTCTGTATTATTTTCCTATGTGAGTTTTGCGGTTTTTTCATACTTCATTGCAATGGATAACCTTGATTTTCAGCTCAACACCAGGGAAGGGGAAATTTCAGTTAATGAGTTCCCTTCATAAGACTGGCCTATGGGCATGAGTGAGCACACCATTTTCTTTATTGCTCGTTGATAAAGGAGGGCTCAGTCCACCATGTCAGTACCATCTTTAATCAAGTGGGGCTGGACAGTATAAAAATGGTAACAGGTAGATGACCCCAAGGAGACAGTGCCATCCAGACACAACAGGACTAATGCACATA